ATTGTAAGACTTCATTTCATTCACATCCCCATGACATGCATAACCCGCTCTTATTACAGGAGGCCTCATGCTCCAAAATCACAACACTCGGGGCATTCCCATAAGCTCTCCGTCTCCATCTTCAGCAGCCAGTGAAGAGTTCCGATGTTAATGGTGCCAGTAGCATTCTGATTAAACGTCTGTCTTGCCTTTCCTCTGAACCTCCAGCATCTGCCAGAACCTCTCGTCACTCACCCCCCCCCCCCCCCCCGGCTCCCTCTTTTTGCATCAATCTCACCAAACCGTGGTGATCCATCTGCTCCTCCGAACTGTACACGCTCTCCCACGAGGCACTAACCACGTCTGCCTTATCATGAATAGGTATTCCACCAAATCGTGCAGAGCCAGCCAGTCTGTCCACCTGTTCATTTCCTAACACACCGGCGTATCCCGGAAAAAAATCTAGACAATACTGCTAATGGGTTTAATTGTGTTGTATCTAACTGTAGCTTAGTATCAAACTTAGGCGAGGTTTAAGCTTCACAGCAATCGAGTCACACATACTTGCTCCACCGAGTCACACATACTTGCTCCACCGAGTCACCCATACTTGCTCCACCTAGTCACACATGCTTGCTCCATCGAGTCACCCATACTTGCTCCATTTCTGTGCCAGTGATAGTTAAAAAAAATGTCCTTCACTGTCCCATCTGAAAAAAAAAAAAAAGAATCCCGGCACAATATAGAAATATGCCCTCGCAGTAAATATATTTGGCAGTTGCTGGAGGTGCCAAAGCAACAGTCGCCACCAGAAATGCATTTGTTGTTGATGAAAATAGTCGGTTGCAATATGTTTGCTATACACATGAAATTATTACATGAGGTATTTCTCCAGCCCTTACGTAAACTATCTACTGGCCATATTGAATACCACGTCATAACCACTGCACAGATGAAAGGCATTCAGAAAAAAAAAAACAGCTCACAGGGCTGCACCAAGCACTAAACTCAGTAGCTTAGACAGTGAAACCATAGGGTACCGTTTTCACGGGGAAGCTGCATTAGCAAAGCGCTGCCTTATATTGGATGTGTTGCTTTTCTTCTAATGATAGCCCTGCCTTCTGTCCTTGAGGGCTCGTCCTCATATGTTGCGCTGTTAGCTTTAGGTTTTGACAACGGATCAACATCATGGCACAAGGGTAGTAACCCATAAGTGCTCCGTTCTACTTCTGACTCAAGCCTGAATCCGAAGAATCGCAGCTCAATGCAGGCACTCCGTGCACCGGCAAAGATCCTGAAATACTTAAGGCAGCATTTTTAAACTCCAAATTTTGCCCGGAAAGAGCCGTTAGGCTACTATTTTTCAGTTTCAACTGCCAAGTTTTTTTTTTATGTGGAACAATACACCAGGAAAAATTCTTACATGTCCACGTGACAAAATCCCAGTCCTCATTGGGACTCTAACCCGGGACCTCCAGCACTCGAGGGGGACGCCAGACCCCCAGACCACGCAACTCTCTGTACATGATTGTTAGGCGTATAATGCTATATGGCTGTACTCCTGAATGGGGTGTCCTGGCTTTTAGCTGTCTGATACTCAACCTCTAGATGTTTAACCCTCAGAGTGCAAATTAGGAGGAGGAGGAGGAAAGAGAGAGAGAGAGAGAGAGAGAGAGAGGGGGGGGGAGGGGTGGGAGACAAGTAAGTAAATAAATGAATAAAACGTCTCAGTATTGCATCCTTGTCGGCTCTGTGGCTAAGTCAATGCGAACGCTTCGTAACTGCCGGGGTGCCGGGCTCGATGCCAGCTGCGGGCCATGCGCCTTTGTTGGCTTCGACAGTGGTTTCAGGGGTCCGACCGTGCAGTAGCAATGGCAAACTACTCGACGTAAATTTGCCTAGAAAACCCACACAACAGTCAGGGGCTGCTGGGCTTGGTGCTGCAACGTCGTGTAAAGGATACGCAACTAACCAGTCAGATAGCCTCCTTATTCACACAGACTGAGAAGCGCTGCAGTAACCTGCGGTCACATCACGAGATGTCTGCCACGCAGGTAAGATTACATCTGGAACGGTTACACAACAGGGCGTTTTATCCACACGAGGTTTTTGTGTTGAAAAGGTCAGCGTCCTTCAACTAACGGCCCTCAAAACACTCGTGTTCACGCATCATCTTAACAAACTTTCCCTATTCAGCACAAATTGCTTTAAAATGTTCTGTTACTTACCATAAAGTGACTTTAAAATGTTACGGTACTTACCATAAAGTGACTAAACAGAGGTGCCGGTACTTAACATCAAGTGACTAAACAGAGGTGCCGATAACCACTACAAATCGATACCTGCTATGAATTGACTAAAACAAGGTTCTGATACTCACCATAACGTGACTAAACAAAGTGACAGTACTTACCATAACGTGACTAAACAAAGTGTCAGTACTTAACCATAACGTGACTAAACAAAGTGAAAGTACTTACCATATCGTGACTAAACAAAGTGACAGTACTTACCATAGCGTGACTAAACAAAGTGACAGTACTTACCATAGCGTGACTAACCAAAGTGACAGTACTTACCATAGCGTGACTAAACAAAGTGACAGTACTCACCATAGCGTGACTAAACAAAGTGACAGTACTTACCATAGCGTGACTAAACAAAGTGACAGTACTTACCATATTGTGGCTAAACAAAGGGGCAGTACTTACCGTAGCGTGACTAAACAAAGTGACAGTACTTACCATAGCGTGACTAAACAAAGTGACAGTACTTACCATAGCGTGACTAAACAAAGTGACAGTACTTACCATATTGTGGCTAAACAAAGGGACAGTACTTACCGTAGCGTGACTAAACAAAGTGACAGTACTTACCATAGCGTGACTAAACAAAGTGACAGTACATACCATAACGTGACTAAACAAAGTGACAGTACTTACCATAACGTGACTAAAGAAAGTGACAGTACTTACCATAACGTGACTAAACAAAGTGACAGTACTTACCATAACGTGACTAAAAAGGTGCCGGTACTTACCATAAAGTGACTAAACAGAGGTGCCGATACTCACTACAAGTCGATGTTTATCGTTGCGAACGCCGTTTGTAATTCCGAAATATACAGGTTAGTTTCGTATCCTTTACAGGGCGTTGCAGAACCAACCCCAACAGCCCCTGGCTGTTGTGTGGTTTTTCTAGGCAAATTTACGTCCAGTAGTTTGCCATTGCTTCTGGATAGTCGGCTTTCTTGATACCACTGTCGAAACCAACGCAAGGCCTATGGGATCCCGGCATTACGAAGCATTCGCATCGACTTAGCCACAGAGCCGAGAATTCTGAAATATACAGTTCTATTAAAGCTGCTGGCAATTTAACAGCAGACCGCTTAGCGTTGGTTTCAAAAGTGGTATGGAGAACCGACCGTCATCGATAGAAAGCTGCTAAATTAGCGCTGAACAACAGAATATCTTCCCAAAAAGGGTGCCGGTGCCGTGTCTCATAAGAGAAAACAAAGCCATGCACATATTTAACAAGATTCTCACAGAGTTACACCGACATGCACACACTCTCTCTCTCTCACACACACACACACACACACACACAACACACACACACACACACACACACTCACGCGCGCTCACTCACACACACACACCCACGCCAATAATTTACATGTTTAAACAAACTCTAACGTGTCTACCCACACACACACCCACACACTCACACCCACACACAAACACAAAGGCACACCACATCACACATACTCACACACACAGACTCACGCACATTCCACAGTCGTACGCACACAGAATCTCTCTCTCTCTCTCTTTCTCTCTCTCTTTCTCTCTCTCTTCTCTCTCTCTCTCTCTCTCACTCTCTTCCACACACACACACACACACACAAAGGGCCGTCCTAACCCTGCATGGTCGCCCACGCATATACAGACTCCCTCACACACATTTTTGCCCGCACAAACACGCACACGTTCATGTAGTTGGACCCATACAGACATGCATACGCGAGCACACACACAATCGCACGCACGCGCACACACGTGCACGCGTGAGCACACCCACACAAGCATAGGTACATTCACACCCACACTCATTCAAACACCAAAACACACACACACACACATCTACAAGCGTGCCCACACACATACACGCACACACACTCACACACCACACATACATACATATATCAGGATCGCGTGCGCGCACGCACACACACACACACTCACAAACAAGCACCCACGCACTTGCGCAAACCTCGCACACACGCGCGCACTTACATACATGCACACACACTCATTATTGAACCACACGTGCACGACTTCAAGTGTGTCTAGGTCAACAAATTAGGCCATGCTTTCTTGGCGGTAAACAAACCAGATGCCTGGCTGATAACTGCGCTGATGTCCGGACATGTTTACCGGCCTCTCGCCGCCTATATGCGCATTAACCTGGCGTAGATCTAGAGCAGCCACCTGTAGTTCGTTAACTACTTGTCTGCGAACTAAACAGACGGAGATACAGCGTAAGAAATATCATCATCATCGCGACCTGTAGGTCTAAGTCTGTGGCTGGGAAACTAATATAGAACGCAGGCAATACATAAACTATAACAGGCATATACTCCATATTCGTAGACACAAAATCTCTCTCTCTCTCTCTCTCTCTCTCTCTCTCTCTCTCTCTCTCTCTCTCTCTCTCTCTCTCCTCTCTCTCTCTCTCCAAGAAATTTAATGTTACTATAATCCTGTCTGATGACGAGCGGCGTGGACGATCATGCCTTTCCACAATCTGTGATCTTCAACAACATGCAACAGTTTGTGTGCTGACATCACCCCATACCATGTTAACAGAGTGTCAAGAATCTTCTAGCATTGTCTTTCTCTGACTTTCCAGTAGTCACAACATGTTCAGATGTCATTCTTTTCATAACAAGAACCTGCAGAAGATGTCTGTCTTTCTGATGTCTGTGATAAGTTGATATACTTTTCTTGTGCAGGCCAACAATGGAGCCCATTCAGATTGAGGACGAGACAGGGGGTAGTCTGACGGTCCTGGAGGATGCTGGGTATTACTTCAGCCCTAATGTGGCCCCAGAGACCATCTTGAACCTGCAGAACTTTCAAGCCAGACCCAGCGATGTTCTTGTAGTCACATACCCAAAATCAGGTTTGTTCGATCTGTGTACTAAGTCTTGTCTATATATTATTTTTGAGAACTGTCCTTCTCTCTCCCTCTCTCTAACTCTCTCGTTCTCTCTCTCGCTTTATCTCTCTGTCTCTCTTTCTCTATCCCCTCTCTCCTCTCTCTCTTGTTCTCTCTCAGATTTCTCTCTCCTTCTCTCTCCTTCTCTCTCCCCCTCTCTCCCTCTCTCTCTCTCTCTCTCTCTCTCTCTCTCTCACTCTCTCTCTCTCTCTCTCACCCTGTAGGAAGAGCAATTGAATAGGCAGTTTAAAAAAAAAAAGCAAAAGACGAAGGAGAAGACACGTGAGCATCGTTAACAACAGCAGACTAAGAAGGAGGAGGAGGAAGAGAAGAAAAAAAAGAAAAAGACGAAGAAGATAAGAAGAATAAGAAAAAGAAAAAGATGATGACGATAATGTTGATGATGATGATTGTTGATGAAGCCGAGAAACATAGGTGCTATAATAGATCATAACCATAATCTTGCTGACTGGCTTCCACGTAAAGTGATAAACTATATGGAATATTGTTTCCCTGACTTGAATTAAAACAGATTTTTAAAAAAAAAGTGCAATGAAGATGTCTCGAACGAAACCTGACGAATGAAGAAAATCGATTACTGACATCAGAAGTTGACAGTCTACATTAGAAGGAGACAGCTGGAGTACATCGTGACAGCGTGATAGTTGGTGGAAAGAGAGGCAGAGTGGGACCGAGAAATGAGATGATGAGCAGTTTGACCTTATTGAATGGAAGACCGTCAATATCAGAACTGACTGACCCCCGTGTGGGTTCCGGGGTCCCATTGTAGGGGAAAACAAGAATAGACCCATTGCCTCTCCAAAAGCATGTCGTAAGAGTCAACTAATTGGGGAGCTTCCTTTGAAGTCGGAGTGCATCTGCTGGAGAGGCAAGGAACCAACAGTCTGTATTCAAGAGAATGAGATCTGTAAAACTGATGCACACGCTACACTCAGGTTCTGGAGCAGGACTGCAGTTCAGTAGTGGACGAGCAACCAGAACTTTCCGCCAGAGTGTACAGCTGGTGAACGCGAAGAAGAAGAAGAACTGACTGAAAGTCCACGAGACAGAATTGTATGTATATAGACACCAATATCAGCGGTGGAAGGCATGCCATATAAGAGAAAGAATTTCACGCTGAAGTTGTTCATATGCGACTTGTCGCTCACATGATCGCGGGCAGACGACTTCATCACCAGCAGGGACAGGATTTGGGTCTATCTCCTTTGGAACATCAACCCTGCAGGAATCCTTGTCATGGCTCCTGATGACGTGCAATGCTAAGCCATTTTATGTGGCGCACATAACCTGGTCACAATTATAACACAAATCTCCTCCTTCGAGGATGCTGGTTGAACGTGACGATGATTTTGTTTTCGTTTTTTGAACACAGTGTTGGCATCGGCTGTGGTTGTTGTGGCTGTTATTATTGTCATCGTCATTATCAGTATTGGCCTTAGGTAGGTCATATGCGGGCCTCCCAATCTATTCCTCTATTTCGCCGTATCCTTTGCAATCAGTTCAGTATCATGGCTGGAATTCAAACCAGCAGCTTTAGCCTCTCTCTTCAACACTCGTTTCAATGATTCGTTTTGGTTGCCCTGGCCTCCTCAGTTCATTTGTTTTCCATGTTAGTGCCTGTCTGGTGATTTTCTCCTAGTTTCTTATCAGGGTTTATCCAATACAGCGCCTCTTTAAAAAAAAAAAAAAAATCTTACAACGTTTGTTACAAGTGGTCGCCCATACATATCTCTTTGATTCTTGACTTTTCGCCGCTAGAATTACATCGTCCAAGCAGACAAAATGGATAAGGCCAGACTCCTCCAACAAGCACTCAAATGGACACTGGAAAGGAAAAGAAAACGGAGCAGACCAAGAGAGACTGCGTAGAACCATATTCAGAGAAGGCTCAGCCATGGCTGAACATCCAAGACCTAAAGTGGGAGACAACGAACCGCCAGACATGGAGCTATGAGCTCTGCCCTGTGCGCCATCCTAGACTTAAGAGGAAGGACTAACTAACTTGAATTCATCGCATTTTACTTTCACCATTTTCCCGCATTTATTTGTTTTCAAATGCATTCAACTTTGGTTCCACGTCTTTAGTTGTAATCCACCGTTTACTGGCATGAGTTATAATTCAAGCATCCATACAACTGGAAAGGCTGACATTATCAGAAGATCATATTTCCGTCTTGCAGGCACTCACTGGGTCTATGAAATCGTCTCAATGCTCGTCAACAGATCCAAGACCTTGACGAAAGAACCATTGAAGAATATCGAGTTTCTACCGTCCAGTGTCTTCGATTCCATGCCATCTCCTGTAAGTTACCTTTTTAGCACCTCTGTTATTATTAATGTCAGTAAATTAAAGGACCATTTACTCACGACCGGCTCTAGCTGACGGGCCGTGCTGCTGACATCAACGTGTGGGGCTAACGATGCATTAACGCAGCTGTTCTCAAACTGGGTGCCGAGGCATCCTGGGGTGCCGTGAGCGTTTGCCAGGGGTGACGAGGCAATAATCAAGAAAATTCGGTTTAAAATTGTGAAATTATTAAAGAAAGCGTGTAGATACTTAGAAGTTAAAATTGAAGTTCACCACTGTCGAAAATAGTTTATATCTTGTTTGAGAACCGCTGCGTTAACGCGTCGTTAGCCCGACCCGGTGACGTCAGCAGCACCTCCGCCAGCTGGAGCCGGTCGTCATTTACCCCACCTTCAGGCATACTGGGTTTATTGGGATACATCTGTGCAGATCGATACGATTTAGAAGAGGCCAGTGCAGAATTTTACGATCGCTCATCGATACGCCAGCACAGCACTGCATGAAAAAAAAAACAACTCGCCTCTCGCGAGATCTCGTACTTCGTGCACTTTCCCCACTCATGGAGTCACTTATATTGGTATATGACTGGTAGATCCCTGCTGTACTTGCTCCCTGTGAGTTTATTCCTATTGTGCTCATCTTTTTGACCCCAGCCTCTACTCTCAGGTACCAGGCTTTCTGATGTTATTCTTTCAAGTCCGCAAATGGCGCTTGATTTAGTCAAAATTCTTCAGTTTCTGAGACAGGATGCTGTTTACTTGCCAATCTTCTTCTATATTTCGATCTGCTAGGATGATGGTATTTCTTTTATTCTTGGTCCATGATATTCTGAGAATCTTGAAATTAATTTTTTTTTTTTAACCAAGTAGTGTCACAGTAAGTCAAGGCGGTCAGCGTAATGTTGATACACATAATAGTTAGATATTATGCGGTAGAAGGTCTGTAGAAGAAGATGATGATAGTGATGTTTGTTTGTTTTAGTATCCAGAAGCCATGAGTTGTTAACCCTTAGGCTCGGTATTATGGATATCGCAACCTTTCGGCCTTGATTCCATTGTAAATACCGTAAATCTGGGAGAAAATGTCTGCCTACCCCCGGGATTGAAGTTCGTCACCCGGTCTCCGCGCAATCCGGTTTAGCCAACTACGCCAGAGAGTCGGTCATGGTGATAGTGATAATGATGACGAAGAAAAAGAAGAAGGATAAAGATGAGGAGGAGGAAGACCACGAGCAACAACATCAGTCTAACACATTCTTTATCTTCTTCTCAAACACAGAGAGTCATCTCCACACATCTTCCGTACCCAAGGATTCCCCTGGACTTCCTCAGAAAACGGTCAAAGATCGTCCTGTGTGTACGTAACCCCAGAGACGTGGCTGTGTCCTACTACAAGTTCATATCCAACCTCAACGTCTGGGACTACGATGGGTCTTGGGAGAGCTTTTTCCCGCTCTTTCTCAACGGACACTGTAAGTAAATTCTTGCATTCGTTATCATCATTATCATCGTCATCATCATCATCATCATCATCATCATCATCATTATCGTCTTAAATATCACCATCATCCCTGTCATCATCATTATCGTCGTCTTCGTCATCATTGTCATCATCATTGTCATCATTATTATCATCGTCATCATCATCATCCTCGTCATCATCATCATTATCGTCATAATTATCATTATCACTATCATCATCATCGTTATCGTCATCATCATCATCATTATCGTCATAATTATCATTATCACTATCATCATTATCGTCGTCATTATCATCGTCAAAATCATCATCGTCATAATCATCATCGTCATCATCATTGTAATCGTCATCATCATTATCATCATCGTAATTTTTCATTTCTGCCGTTGTGGGAAGGAACAGTTTGCAATCCAGTGCTTGATGGACAGCAACGGCTATTGTCATTCAGTGTCGATGTAAAAGTTCTTTAATGTCATCAATCCATCTTCTCCTAGGGCTGCCTCTTGTTTCCACTTCAGATCTTTTCAGGTGTGGCGGCTGCATTAGTAGTTGTTCTGACTGCATTCTTACTAGATGACCAAACCATTTCGTCTTCTGTTTTTCAACGAATTTCCTGCATGGTGTTGTTCCTACAGTCTGTCTGATAATATAATTTCTAACTTTGTCTCGGATGGTTGAGTTGGCGGTTTTTCTTAGGCACCTCGTTTCACGAGTGTTAATTTTACCTAGTTTAGTCTTTGACAATGTCCGAGTCTGGCACTGGTAGCACAGTGTTGGTATGAATCTGCTGTTTAATATACAGATACCAAGAAAATAAAAATAAAAACTGGTGCCTGTGTTGCAGATATGGCTTGTGTGTGTGTGTGTGTGTGTGTGTGTGTGTGGGTGGGTAGGTGTGTGCGTGGGGCTCCCGACAAAAAGAAAACATTCCACAACCTTACCTAACAGTCAAAGCTGGGTCCTCCTGCAAGAGATCTCTGTGTTCTTAATGTCCGGCCAATGACTGCTCGAAAATCTGATTAACAACATGAACATGATTATGATGATGATGATAATGATGATGATGATGGTTTTGATAATGATTAAGGTGGATGATGATGATGATGATGATGATGGTTATGATAATGATTAGGGTGTTCTTAATGATGATAATGATAATGATGAGGAGAAGAAAATAGTGATGATTATAATGATGACGATGATCATAATGATAATGATGGTGAGGAGGATAATGATGATGATAATGATGGTGATGAGGATGATGATAATGATGATGGTAATGAGGTTGATAAGCATGATGATGATTATGATAATGATGAATAAGCTGGTAATAATGATGATGACGGTGATGAGGATGATAATGATGAGGATAGTGGTATTGATGCGGATTGTAATAATGATGAGGATAATGATTATGATATAATACGATGATGATGTTAATAAAAAGTATAATGATGATTTTGATGATTTTGATGATGATGATTATAAGAGTGATGATGATAACAGACTGGAAAGATAAACTCCACTAACCTTCCACTGCTACACTCTCACAGTACCCTACAACTCGTGGTTCGAACACACAGACACATGGCTGAAGGTGGCTCGGCACGGCAAGCATCAGGTTCATCTGGTTTTCTATGAAGATTTCCACGAGGTAATATCACGCTGATTCTTGTTCTTGTTCTTCCTGTTTTTCTTGTTCATCCTGTTCTTCTTCTTATTCTTGTTGTTGTTGTTTGTTGTTGTTTTTCTTCTTCTTCTTCTTCTTCGTTTTCTTCTTCTTCTTCTTCTTCTTCTTCTTCTTCTTCTTCTTCTTCTTCTTCTTCTTCTTCTTCTTCTTCTTCTTCTTCTTCTTCTTCTTCTTCTTCTTCTTCTTCTTCTTCTTCTTCTTCTTCTTCTTTTACTTCTCCTTCTGATTATTATTTTTATTATTATTATTATTATTATTATTATTATTATTATTATTATTATTATTATTATTATTATTATTATTATTATTATTATGCCCCTCCCCAATGGAACATAGGCTCTCATCCAGTTCACACCAAGTCGTTCCACCCTTTACTGTTTCGTGCAACTCACCCTATATTCTTCCTTTCTTCTCAACTTTACTTTCTAGCTTTCCGTTTGCAGGGGTTTTTGGTCTTGCTTTATTTCTGTACCCCTGTGGGTTCCAGTGCATTGGCATTATAGTTAAATTATTCCCAGGTTTTCTCAACGTGTGTCCTATCCAACGCCAGCGTCTTTTATTCGTCTCTTGATCCACTTGAACGTGTTTAGTTCTTTCCCAAAGCGCAACTGTTAGTGATTTTAGGGAACCAGATTGTTACTGGTGGAAGTATTTCCCCACATAAAAAATACCCAAGGCTATATGAGGAAATCCTGTTTGCTGTGCACACACACACAAAAAGATTGCTTGAAAGGGCTGAATGTCAGACAGGCTTGTTCAATTTGTGACCCTTTAAAAAAAGTTTGTTTTTTCGTTCGTTTATTTACGCCCTCTCCTCTCTCTCTATCACTTTCTGTTTCAGTGCCCATTTCGCTCTCTGTCTCTCCTTTCCTTTATGTCTTTGTCTGTATCTCTTCTGCTCTCTCTTTCTTTGTTTCTATACCTCTTTCTCACACACTTTGTATGTGTCTGTGTGTGTATGTCCATCTGTCTATCAATCTCTCTCTCTCCCTCTCTCTCTCTCTCTCTCTCTCTCTCTCTCTCTCTCTCTCTCTCTCTGCATATGTATGTATTTGTATATGGGTAATAAGAGTTATTACATTATATCAATAACGTTAACAGACTTTAGTCTAATTAGTTATCCCTGACGTCAAGAGCACCAACTCTTTTGTTGACTAACAGGATTTTGAGAGGACAACTTTCGAACTGGCCAAATTCCTGGAAGTGGAGGCAACTCAAGAGCTTCTTGAAGATATTCACAGAGAGACCACGTTTGCTAACATGAAGTCTCGAAAAGTGGACATCACAATGGACCTCAGTCGGAATGGGTCATCACCGATATACAGAAATGGTAGGCTGCCTTTATTTGACTGTCTAATTCCTCATTTTGCTCCTCTTATTCCTTCCTACCTTACTTCATTCTTCTTCTTCTTCTTCTTCTTCCTACTCTTCTTCTCTCGTCATCATCATTATCATCATCGTCATAATCATCATCAACATCATCATCATCATCATCGTCATTATCACTGTAATCATTAAATTCATCTTTTTCTTCTTCTTTCGTCAACAACATTATCATCGTCATCATCAGCATTATCATCATCTTCTTCTTCTTCTTCTTCTTCTTTTTCTTCTTCTTCTTCTTCTTCTTCTTCTTCTTCTTCTTCTTCTTCTTCTTCTTCTTCTTCTTCTTCTTCTTCTTCTTCTTCTTCTTCTTCCTCTTCTTATGCTTCTTCTGCTCTTACCTCTTGTATGTGTGATTTTGCAGACACAGTTTTTATTATTTTCTTTTACTATAAATAAGGAATAATTTCTAACATTCATGTATTTAAAAGGCTAGTTATAACAAGGAGAAGTGAACAAATAAACAAAAACTGTCTGAGCAACCGTTAGTCAGTTATAAGACAGAGAAGTGAACTAATAAGAGAACTGTCTGAACAACCATTAGTCAGTTATAAGACAGATAAGTGAACAAATAAGAGAACTGTCTCAGCAACCATTGGTCAGTTATAAAACAGAGAAGTGAACAAATAAGAGAACTGTCTCAGCAACCATTGGTCAGTTAAAAGACAGAGAAGTGAACAAATAAGAGAACTGTCTGAGCAACCATTAGTCATTTATAAGAATAGCAGTAAACAAATAAGAGAACTGTCTAAGCAACCATTAGTAAGTTATAGGACAGAGAAGTAAACAAATAAGAGAACTTTCTGAGCAACCTTAAGTCAGTTATAAGACAGAGAAGTGAACAAATAGGAGAACTGTCTGAGCAACCATTGGTCAGTTATAAGACAGAGAAATTAACAAATAAGAGAACTGTCTGAGCAACCATAAGTCACTTATAAGACAGAGAAATGAACAAATAAAAGAACTGTCTGACAAACCATTAGTCAGTTATATGATATAGCAGTGAACAAATAAGAGAACTGTCTGAGCAACCATAAGTCAGTTATAAGACAGAGAAGTGAACAAACAAGAGAACTGTGAGCAACCATTAGTCAGTTATTAGACATAGCAGTGAACAAATAAGAGAACTGCCTCAGCAACCATTAGTCAGTTAGAAGACAGAGAAGTGAACAAATAAGAGAACTGTATGAGCAACCATTAGTCAGTTATAAGACAGAGAAGTGAACAAAAAAGAGAACTGTCTGAGCAACCATTGGTCAGTTATAAGACAGAGAAGTGAACAAATAAGAGAACTGTCTCAGCAACCATTGGTCAGTTATAAGACAGAGAAGTGAACAAATAAGAGAACTGTCTGAGCAACCATTAGTCAGGAATAAGACAGAGAAGTGAACAAATAAGAGAGCTGTCTGAGCAACCATTAGTCAGTTATAAGACAGAGAAGCGAACAAATAAGAGAACTGTCTGAGCAACCATTAGTCAGGTATAAGACAGAGAAGTGAACAAATAAGAGAACTGTCTGAGCAACCATTAGTCAGGTATAAGACAGAGAAGTGAACAAATAAGAGAACTGTCTGAGCAACCATTAGTCAGGTATAAGACAGAGAAGTGAACAAATAAGAGAACTGCCTCAGCAACCATTAGTCAATTATAAGACAGAGAAGTGAACAAATAAGAGAACTGTCTCAGCAACAATTGGTCAGTTATAAGACAGAGAAGTGAACAAATAAGAGAACTGCCTCAGCAACCATTAGTCAGTTAAAAGACAGAGAAGTGAACAAATAAGAGAACTGTCTCAGCAACCATTGGTCAGTTATAAGACAGAGAAGTGAACAAATAAGAGAACTGTCTCAGCAACCATTGGTCAGTTATAAGACAGAGAAGAAGGCGCTATAGTGGACACACTCTAAGAAGAGACGAAGAGAGAGCGACTAAATAGGAACAAAAATGGAAAAAACAAGATGTGCTGAAGAAACGATGACATCCAATAGACACTCTAAGAAGAACGTTGATGAGAGAGGCCAAAGTTACTGGAATGGATTCCATCAATTTTTTCGAAGTGATTGCCCAGGACAGAATAGAATGGAAAAATAGTCCGTGAGCCCTGTGTGTGACTTATAAATCCACAGTTGGACAATGCAGCATATATTTTGAAGCTTTCTGAGATTAAAAGTAAAAGGACCCTTTTCCACGCCTTTAGGTGTATAGGGCATATAGGGCTAGACCTATATTTTATATACCAATCGGCAGTCTGAGATTTCATAGGGAGTTACCAGTAAAGTCTAATAGTATAGGGGTGATAGGGTGTGAAATGAACACCGGCTGACTCTAACCCTAGCACCCCTTTCCCAGGAACTCCCCACGAAATCTCAAGAGTCAGAGTGACATAAACTAAAATTATCCAGCAGTGTTTAAATGTGCATCTTCTCTCTTGGCTTTTCCAGGGCGTGTTGGTGACTGGGTGTCCTGGTTTACGACGGAGCAGCTAGAGCAGATGGACCAGGAAATGGAAGACTGGGGTTTGCATCTGAATAACAGAATTAAGTACACGGTCCACGCCGATTAGCTAGAAAGAAGGGACAGAAACAGTGTGCAGAAGCCCGGATGCTGCATGTTGAAGACTTTCCCACCTGGGATTGGATCCTGGGTAATTCAAGTTGTTTGCCCATGAACTTTGACACTGCAGAATTAAGCACGTGAACTTTGACACTGCAGAATTAAACACATGGATATTGACCCAGCTGATACCTCTTGCATATGAACTTTGATCCAAGAGGTTAAGGTCTCCTGTAAATAAACCTTTACACTGCAAAATAAATAGATGTGACCGGTGAACTTTGACCTTTAGTACACTTAAGCATGAATTTCGACTTTGCGAGTTTAAGTTCATTTGGGCATGAACTTTAACCTTGCGGGTTGCGTTCTGTTATGCATGAACTTTCACACTGCAGAGTAAAGCCACTACACATTGAACTTTGACCCTGCATAATTAAATAAACAAGCTGTGACCCTGCAGTGTAACATCGTGTGTCCATAAGTTCCCATTTCAGTGGATAAATTTGGTTTGAAAACAAGAAAGGCGACGACGATGTTAATGATGATGATTTTGATGATGATGATGATGATGATATAATGATGATTATGTGTTTTACTGATCTATGAGCTAGTTATCTCATTCATGTTCCAATGCCCCTGTGTCATAGATCTGTTTTTGTTGCTGCTGTTGCATGCAGACTACTGAGCAGCCTCTGATGCAGATGCACTCAGACTTCGAGGGAAGTCCCTAATTAATCTACTCTTACGACATGCTTGTTAGGGAGGCAGTGGGTCTATTCTCGTCCCCCCCCCCCTTACACACACTGGGAGAATTGATTATACTGGAGCAACGGTTTTCAACCTACGAGTCTCGATCCTTTTACTGGGTCCAACGACCCTTTCACAGGGGTCGCCAAAGACCATCGCAAAATACATATTCACTGAAGTTATGAAATAGCCACTAAAATAATTATTTGGCTGGTGGTTGTAACTAGATGAGGAACTGTATTAAAGGGTCGCGACATTAGGAAGCTTGAGAACCCCTGCGCTGGACGATTTGCACCTAAAACAGCAGAACGGAAGTTACAGATTACTGCCTCCAGTCTGTCCCAAAAGTCATGGCCAACTTTACAAATCTAGAACTCAGTAAACGTTCGGTATAGATTGTTGAGATTTGGCATACAACCTGTTAATAATTATGTCTTTGTAGCTATGCATTAAACAAACGTCTGGTTTTCATTTTGCCTTATTTGTGGTAAATAAAAATAAAAATAGACACTGAATCAAAGCATACAATTGGCACGTTTGTTGTGGATGAATTAACGTGAATTTGGCAAAACATCAAATTACCCCCGTTTTGGAGGTCATCTGTGTGAAAGACTAAGGCGCATTATTATTATTACTGAAGTGGACACGTCACCTGCTGCCATAATGACTGTTGATTGGCTCACACCCATTTGAAAAAAAAAAAAAAAAAAAAAAAAACGATTTGCGTGAATTATTGTACACATTTTTAAAGGAACACCTAAATTATTAGTGCGACAAAAATGAAAGAAATTAGCTGTTTCAATAAACGAGCAGCACAAATGCAATTGTAAATGGGAAATACTTGCAATAATTCGTGTTGATCCTTTTTCGAGATATTTGTTAACAGTTTGAATCACAACTTTTGGAACGGACTATTGTATATATCAAGTGATAACACTGGCGTAAGACATTAAATATCTATTGGTTTTGCCAACATTATTATTAACAAAGAGGGGCAAGAATTATGGTGCGGGTAAGGTACAGTCTATGTGTCAATGTTAACGTAGAAGAGAAAGACCAAAAAAAGTAGAAATGAATTGATTTGAGTTGACCAACAACCGGAATCACAGCACTTAGGACATTGCCTTATGCACTCCGTCTCTGTCTTCAGCAGCCAGCGCAGAGTTCCAATACCAGTGGTGCAAGCAGCAGTCTGGATTATACGTTAGTCTTGCCTTTCCTCTGAGCATTGAGTATCGGCCAGATCCCTGGTCACTTCTCGCTGCATCACTCTCACCAGACTGTGTTAATTCATTTGTTACTCTGAATTGTACACAAGGCCTTAAGCACTTCTGCCCTATCATGCTTCAATATTCCACCAAGTTGTGCAGAGTCAGCCAATCTGTCGGCCTGTTCATTTTCAAGCACACCGGTATACTCCAGATACAAGATCCAGAGTATACAATAACAGTATTTGTGTGCGTATGGTTTTGAACAGTGAGGTAAATGACAGTGTGTGTTTGTGTGTGTTCTATCGAGTGTGAACAGTGGCAGTTTTTGTGCATGAGTAAATTGATAGTGCGTGTGCATGTTGATATAGTGATTACACTGGCGGTATCTCTATGTGTGCGTGTTGGTGTAGTGATTACACTGGCGGTATCTCTATCTGTGCGTGTTTATATAGTGATCACACTGACAGTTTTCCTGTGTGTAGTGTCTGTGTGTGAGAATGTTTATATATGTATAGACACTGACAATATTTGTGTGTATGTGCGTGTTTATATAGTGAGTACGCTGACAGTATCTGTCTCTATGTGTATGTATTTTTGTAATGAGTACAATGACAGTATCTGTGTGTTTGTGTGTATTTCCCTAAAGTGAGTCAAATGACAGCGTGTGTGTGTGTATGCGCTCGCGCGTTTACATGACAATATTTTGGTTAATTCTTCTTCTTCTTCTTTTTTCTTTTTCTTCTTCTTCTTCTTCTTCTTCTTCTTCTTCTTCTTCTTCTTCTTCTTCTTCTTCTTCTTCTTCTTCTTCTTCTTCTTCTTCTTCTTCTTCTTCTTCCGTTTTCCGTAAACAAGGGTAGTATACAGAGTTAAATCTGCCTATTATGCTGTCATGTATGTATTTGTATATACAGGAATGTCTTGTAAACTAATAAACATGTTGTTTTTACAGTGTACTTGATTTTGCAATATTTGACTGTGTTATTATTTAGTAAACTGTATGTAACCTGTTAAGTAATTAGTCACAGTTACAACTTTAGTGCGCATTGGTCACCTTATAGTTGCTCCGAGTTATATATATATATATATATATGCTACTGTACTAGCAGGAAGAAAAAGAAGGGGGGGGGGGGAACACAGAGGTAGGGAAGATAAAAGGAAATTGTGATTAGGACAAAATGTAATAGTTGCCCGCTAAACAGAAAGAAAAGAAAAGTAAACAAAAGACAAGGGTTCTTCTGCGCAGGGATCCTAGAATATTTTACTAAGATTAAGACAAAAAATATCTACATAGTGAGTTACATGACGACAACCTAACTACATGGGTACATACATCTAGACGAACCACGTGCACGGACTACAGATCCTAAATTAAAGCAAGCAAATAAATTATAATCATCACATTAAACAGCTGTTTTTTTTACTGAATTGAACACAGAATTAACTTATACTTCACAAAAAAATACATTAACAACAACCAACGTGCTCGAACAGAATCTAAAGTGCTAATGATCTCCAGCTAACAAGGAAATATGATAATGACAACATTCGCTCAGCGAGATTACCTAAACAATGGCAAAAACCAAAACATATTTAACGTTATGTTACATGTACGTTAGGCTTCAATATGCCACCATACTAACCAATCACTTTTAGCGACCTGCCATAGAACGATCTCCTAGCGAGAATACACACCGACATGTCTCTACAAAGTTTAACCACTAGAGAAATTTCAGATTTAACTATGGAAACATACCACCGCCGCGAAATGAGCCTGACTACCGGCCTTTCACTGCAGTCGCTCATACCCGTTGGCTAGCCCAATGTACAGAGCCCCAACAGCTGGGTTGGTCTCTCACAGGGTCCGTCCGAAAGTCAACAAAAAGGCCAAATAATAGTGAGCTGGCCTTTTAATACACAGTGGCCAGACTTTTCCGCATTTTTATACCAGACTAAATCAAGGTATCGGCCGCCGAACAAACCAAAATCGTCAAGCTGCTCAACAGCAGTCTTTTGCGTTCTCCAGCCTAACACACTACTAAAACCACACAAAATACCGTGTCTTATTAACATTTTAAGACAGAATAACGGTATCCTAAGTCGCTTTGAGTTTCTGCAAAGATAGTCGATACAATATAATTACTATGATTGAATAAATATAATCGTGTATTGGGAAAAATAATAGCAGAAGGCATGGTACTAGGAAGGAGTGACAGGGGCCGACCAGCATGAAGATATGCAGAGAATATAACTGACTCCTTGAATATGAAAGTACACGAGGCGAAAGAGCTGTCAGAACTTGAACAGAGCGACGATGTATTCCATAGTTGTGAATTTCAAGCTGTACGATAGACATGGCCAATAAGTCACCTCTTATGAGGGTGCCTGGTTAACCATGCTCTTAGTGCACTTGTATTCATGGCAAGACGCATACGCCGTCTGGATGTGACAGGTTCAATTCCCGGCACGGTAACTATAGCTTTAGATTTTTATGTTGTCTAGTGTGTTCTTCTATATTTTTACTTCTTCCTATGAGTACCAATCAATACATTTTCTGTTACTTGATTAATTTATAATATTTAACGGGCTTACGGGTTCCCCTCTGTTTATTTATAGAACCGTAATCCTAGAGTCTTATACAATTGAGGAACACGTTACGTTAGTCTTCCCAAGCCCCGCCCAGATTCACACTAGCTCACTTCTGATTGGTCGTTCCTGAGCCCCGTGACTCCGCGCAAAGTCAGAGGGGTATTCCGCGAAACCGTTTATATCGCGTGTTGTATATTTCAGCACGCCAGCGCTTTTAACGCTTAAAAAAAACAAAGAACAACTGACCCTAACACAATTCCCTTAAAGAGTGCTGCAACCTATGTCACAGGCATTCTCTTTCTTGGAATGAAAACCTAAATGCAGGACGTAACAGAAAGCAAACAACAGAGCGGGACACACCCGTAACCTTTAATGACAGTCGACCAGCCCAACAAACTTGTGAATAACAAATGACCTACTCTATATGGGGAGATTAACGTGAACCTAACCACAACTAATATATTAG